GGACCAACCTTGCACTTCTGGGTTGAACCCGTCTTGGCCGAGCATGTAACCCTTTTCCAACATTGCTGGCTTTGGTTTGAAGTTCTTATTTGGGATGTTTGGATGGCTCTTGAGGAGCACGTCTGACGTCGGACTGTTCTTTCTCATCACCTCCTTTTCTGGCTTCATCATAAACAAGTTGAGGAGCTTTTCCTCTTTCTGCAACTTTGAGTAATAGTTGAACTATCTTCTCCTCAAATGTTGGCTGACTTTCTGCAAGGCTTCCTGGCCTGATGTTCTAGGGGAGGGAGTGTCTAGTGATGATTCTTTTTCCTTTAATAATTATAGGATTATTTAGTTGTCCGCATCTTCCTGAGTCACTTTTGGTAATTTCTGTCTTTTTCTGGTCCATCCCGCCCAACATTCCAGATACATACAGTTGTCGGTACTCCTTGTGTAAGTCCCGCCATGTCTGTAGCTTTTTTCACACTTCCAGTCTCACTGGTGCATACTTGTGCTCCTTCTTTTTTCTTGATCTTGCTGAGATTTATCAATTTAATAAGTCTTTTCAAATTACTAGTATTTGGTTTGTTGATCCTATTGCATTTTTGTTTTCTATCTCATTAATTTCTATTCTTATCTTTATCGTTTCCTTCCTTTTGCTTTCTTAGGGTTATTTCCAAGTGGAGTGCTTAGCTCCTTAATTTTTAGCCTTTTAAATTTTATGATGTAAACATTCAAGATCATAAATTTTTTCTTGAAGTACTGTTTTCACTGCATTCCCTCAGTTTTGACATGTAGTACTTTTATTATTTTATAGTTCTAATAATTTTTGAGTACCCATTATAATTACTTATTTGACTTAAGAGTTCCTTAGAAGGCTGTTTTTCAATTTCAGAAAGCTTGGAGTTTTGGAGCTTTTTAGTTACCTTTTTAAAAATGGGTTTCTAGGGCACCTGGGTGGCTCAGTCGTTAAGCGTCTGCCTTCGGCTCAGGTCATGATCCCAGGGTCCTGGGATCGAGCCCCGCATCGGGCTCCCTGCTCGGCGGGAAGCCTGCTTCTCCCTCTCCCACTTCCCCTGCTTGTGTTCCTTCTCTCGCTGTGTCTCTCTCTGTCAAATAAATTAATAAAATCTTAAAAAAAAAAAATGGGTTTCTAACCTAACTATATAGTAGTCAAGGAGCATAGTCTATGCACTGCCAATTTAGATATTTGTGAAGACTTGCTTTGTAGCCAAGTAGAGGATCTTTTTATGAATGTCCCACATGGGTTTTAAAGGGATACATATTCTCCTCCAATTATGCTCATTTCCATCTCTCTCTCTCTCACTCACACACACACACTCTCAATAGATCAAGCTTAATTAATGTGTTGCTCAAATTATTTGTATCTTGTTTATTTATTTTTCTGCTTAATTCTCTGTACTGAAGTTTCCTAGGATGGTGGGTTCATCTTGTGGTTGTGTCAGAATTTGCTTTCTATGTTTTTAAATTGTGTTATTAGGTGCATATGCATATATTTTTTAGAATTCTTGTATCTTCCTGTTGAGTGAAATATTTTACAATTATGAGGTAAACCTCTTTGACTCTAATAATGGTCTTTGCCATAAAGTCTATTTTAACTAATATTGATATCATTCTCCAGCATTCTTTGGGTAGTATTTGTATATCATTTCTCTCCTTTTTACTTTGAACCTTCCTTTACTCTTATAAATTGCTTCTAGCTGAATGTAAAAAAAAGTCTAGTCTGACAATCTTTGCTTTTCAAATTATTAGTTTAGTCTGTTTACACTTGATGTAACTGCTGACATACTTTGGGTTCCGTTGTATTACCCTGACTTGTGCTTTCTGTTGGTCCTACTTTTTCTGTAATTTTTTCCCTTTTTTCCTTAACATTCTTTTAGTTTTTTTATCCTTTTTCTGTTTTTCTCTCTATTAACTTGAAAGTTATAAGTTCTGTTTCCATTCTTTTAGAGATCACCCTAGAAATTTTAACATTTATATTTGAGTTAACATTGTCTGAAGTTAAAGTTAATACGGGGATCTTAGAACAAGTCAGCTTTCTTATTCCTTTCCCAACTTACCTACTAGTATTTTCCAGTATTTTAACACAATGTGGTTTTCTTAAATCTACAAATTAGACATTATCATATTTGTTTTATGTATTTGATGGTTTTTAGAGTTTATGATGTGTGGATGTGCATATGCACAACAGACCTTGCTCCAAGAAAAAGCAATCTCTTTCTTGCTAAAGAACGTCTTTTGCTACATTCTTTCATCGGGTCTATTTTTCTCTGAAAAATCTGTCTTTTCTCTTCTGAAAGAGGATGTAGCTGGGTTTATAATTGTAGTTTGACAAAGCTTTGAAAATCACGCATTGATTTTTTTGGTGTCCATCGTTGCTGTTGAGACGTTTGCCATCAGTCCTGTGTCATTTCTGTGTAACTAGTCTGTATTTTCTCTTGACTGTCCATTCATTTGGTTCTTTCCTCACATTTACTTCAGTTGTGTTTGTTTATTTTATTTTTTATTCATCACATAGATGTATATTTGTTATCACTACAAAGTAACCACTTGCTTTATTGCTTTTTTCTTACTTTTTGTAGTAAAATATACAAAACATAGATCATTTTAACCATATTTAAGTGTGCAATTTAGTAACATTAAGGGCACTCACAGTGTTGTGTACCCACTATCCAGTTCCAAAATTTTTTCATCATCCCAAACAAAGGCTTTGTCTCCATTAAACCATCATTCTCCATCCCCTTCCCCGCAGCCCATGGCACCCGCCATTCTACTTTCTGTCTCTATGAATTTGATTTCTCTAGATACCTCATATACACGAATCACATACTATTTGTCTTTTTGTGTCTAGATTGTTGCACTCAGCATGATGTCTTCAGAGTTCATCTGAGTTGTAGCATGTGTCAGAATTTCCTTCCTTTTTAAAGCTGAATAAATTCGTGTGTGTGTGTGTGTATTTGGGGGGGTGTTTACCCAGTCATCTGTTGATGAACACTTGGAACACTTGGGTTCTTTCCACATTTTGGCTATTGTGAATAATGCCACTATGCACCTTGGTATACAGGTATCTGTTCGATTTTCTGCTTTCAGTTCTTTCAGATATATACCTAGAAGTGGAATTGCCAGATCATATGGTAATTCTATGTTTAGCTTTTTGAGAAACTACCATACTGTTTTCCACAGTAAATATACCATTTTATTACAACCAGCAATGCCTGAGGGCTCCAATTTCTCTACATCCTTACCAACACTTATTTTCCTTAAAAACAAACAAAAAAGCCATCCTAATGGGTGTGAATTTGTATCTCATTGTGGTTTTGATTTGCATTTCTCTAATGATGAGTGATGTTGAGCACCTTTTCGTGTGCTTGTTGGCCATCTGTATGTCTTCTTTGGAGAAATGTCTATTTAAGCCCCTTGCTGATGTTTAATTGGGTTATTTGCTTTTTTGTTGTTGAGTTGTAGGAGTTCTTTATATGTTCTGGATATTAATCCCTGAACAGACACACGATTTGCAAATAATCTCACTCACTCTGTGGGCTGTCTTCTCACTCTCTTGATGGTGCCCTCTGATGTACAAGAGTTTTTAGTTCTCAGGAAGCCCAATTTTTCTATTTTTTATTTTGTTGTCTGTACTTTGGGTGTCATATCCAAGAAATCATTGCCAGATCCAATGCCGTGACCATGTTTTCTTTTAAGATTTTTATAGTTTTAACTCTTACATTTTTGAGTGGTCTCTCACATTCTCCAGAGATAACTAGTGATTGTTTAGAAATGTGCCGAACACATCGATAGAGCCGTGTTTGGCATTTCTGCGTGCTGGAGCAGGCGCCTCATCCGTAGGTACTTTGCCCCCTGCAGCATGGGAGAGCTTTCGTTGCATCCTGAGTCCTTTTGCTAGAACACTTGTGAATTTTGATAACTTCTTTGTTTTCTGACACGACGAGACATTCCAGCTTCGTTGTGTGCGTTTTCTGCCTCAGACCTGGAATCAGCTATTTCTCAAGAAAGGTGCTGACCCCCTTTCCACCTATGTGGAAACCAGTCTGGGCACAGGATGATCCTGGCTGTAGGGTTGGTTCTTTCTAGGCCTTTATGGTAGCCGGAGGGATGAAATAGTTTTCAATATATATGTATAAGAAATCCATAGTGAAGCTTTCTATTCAGACCTGAAGCCGTGGTGCAATTTCCTTAGTTTTAATTCACACCTCCCCTCTCCCAACTGAACCCGACCCAACACCAGCATAATGCATCTGTTTTTGTCACAGGTCACACATGAACGTTTCCGAGTAACGATGCCAGTCTTATCGCCAACAATAGGATTGCTGCAGAGTTTTTTCATTTTCGGTCCATTGTGGAGCACCCTGGAGATGCACGGTCAATGTACTGGCTTTCGTGTCACTTGGAATACTTCTTTCCATGCAGTTCATTTGTCTCATCTTCTTTGGATTTTTAGAGATTGCTTTTTAAATTTTAATTTTGTTGGCAATTATGTAAAATGTTTGTAGGATTCTAAGACCAAATCTATACAACAAGGCAATGCCCTGGGACTCAGGCTGCAGGACTTGCTGGCTGCTCAGGTCCCAGACAGAGGCAGCTCTGGGGGACAGGGTGGGGCCTGGGGGAGACGGGGGCGGGTGGGGGGACAGGAACAGCCCTAGTCACCGGCGCCAGTGTGCCCCTCACCTGTCGCACAGGTTGCCAGGCAGGAGGGAAGGATCATCTTGCCATCGGGGCTGCCGTACCACAGGTGAGGGCCCCGAAGACGGCTCACCTCTGAGCCTCATCTTTCCAAGGGAGCCGCAGCCTGGCCCTTGGGCCACCCCCTCTTGGGGTCTCACCGTGGGGCTGAGGGGAGTGGGGGCTGACCCGACACTGCTGTCCCAGCCTGGGTGGGCTGAGAGGAGACTCTTGGCCCCTGAGCTGGGGGAGGGGAGCTGGGCCTGGAGAGGTTCTGGGCTCTGTGCCTGCCGCTCGGCGACCACACTTCCGTGCAGCTCCGGGCCCAGGTCGGGGCTGGGCGCTGTCTCAAGGCTGCAGCAGGCAAGGCCGTGCTCAAGCCTTTCACGTACTTGTCACCCACGCAGACATCTTCAGCCGCTGCCAGGTGGGTCCCCCGCGCCCCAGGCCTGCCGTGGGCCGGTGTGTGAGCCCCCCAGCTGTCAGGGAGACACTTCCGTGGCAGGCAAGACCCAGCATGTCCTGGCTGGCGGCAGGACAGCAGAGGCCACGTGCTTTGGGGCTCGTGCCCTTGCAAGCAGTAACCGCCACTGCCCCACCTGCGGCGTTTCCTCCTCTTCCTCCCACCCCCACGGGGCCAGGAGGTGGAAGAGTGCTGGCACTGGCCTGGCCACGGGAGCGGCTCACGTGGGACGCCTGTTCGACCCAGGCGTTTCCTCCCGTGTCCAGGGCTGGCCTCTCACAGGGCTTCGAGATGAAGGAAAAGGAGCCCACGGAAGTTGCACCTGGCTGGGGGCGGGGGTGTCCCATTTTCGGAGGGCAATGTCCACAACCACAGATGGCCACTGGGTCCATCCTGACGTCTAGAAAGGTCTGGGTGAAGAAATGGCCGGGTCAGGGCAGCGTATCCAGGGTTAGGATCGGAGAGGGGTCTGGGACCTGGGTACCGTCTGCTGACTGGGCCAGGGAGGGGGCGCCTGGGGGCCCTGAGTGCCGTCTGGCTGAGGGGGAGGTGGTGCAGGCTGGGGCGTGGCTGCTCCATGTCGGGGCCTCGGCGGGTACAGCGGGCGCCGAGGGCCTTGGGGCCTGTCCTAGCGCGCTCCCGAGGCTCCTGGTGCGGAGTGCTGGCTACTCCCGGGGTATTTTGGAGCTGCAGGCACGACAAAGCTCCGTTAGGAGCACCTCCCCAAGCCCAGCTGCCCGGTGGACACCGGGCCTCACCTCCACAGTGCCGCGGAGGGGTCGTCTCGGGCCAGGCCCCTGGGACCTGAGCCCACGGGCCGAGTCAGGAGATTTGCACCTAGTGCGCGTCTGTGCACGCGAGGGTAGGCGCGCAGCAGAGTGGGAGCGGGGAGGAGGGCCTGGACCCCCACCGCCAGGCCTTGGGTGGGTGCCGTCCGTGCAGACCCCCGGGCCCCCTGCCCTGCGTGGCGGGAAGTGCGCCGCAGGGCCTTTTCCTTCAGCGAGCTCTGGGAGGACAGGAACCTTGTCGGCTGCCTCTCTTTGTCTGTGCTCAAGCCGACAAGTGTTGTAAAGACCCCAGGACGTCCGGGACGCCTGGGAGGCATTTTAATGAGCTTTTCAGAGCCTCTGCTGCTAAGTTTTCTTGAGAAAACAGGAAGTTGGGTAGCTGGGAGGAAACCCCCACTGGCGCCCCGGGAAGCCTCGTGCTGGGGAGCAGCCTGACCTCCTTCAGGCCTGCGAGGGCACCAAGCCACCACACCCCTGCATGGGGAAGAGCGTCCCCGGCCTCGCTGGCCCCATCCATCCTGTGCCGTTGGCAGGCCGAGGGCCCCCCTGCTCTGCCGGGGAGGGGCAGGACGCAGGCTGTTTGAGAACGCCTGGGGGGCCGCATGGAGCCAGTTCAAAGGCTCGGAGACAGAGCCTTGAGAGGGGAACCAGCCAGTGCCCAGGCCGGAGAGGTGGGCACTCGGCCACCCCAGGACAGGGGACAGCCCATGGGGGGACAGCTGGGAGGCGGGCTATGGCTGGGATCTATTCTGGCTGCAGCAGGTGGGATGCATTCGGAGGGTTCTGACCACCAGGTAGGGAGGTGGGAGACCTGGGAGCAGCTGCTGGGCCTGCCCAGGTGAGAGGTGGCAGGTGCCTGAGCAGATGAGCAGGAGCAGATTGAGAATGCAAGTTAAGGCTGTGGCTGGGTTCCTAGGTTGTAGGCTTTGCCCTGGCCAGCCCAGCGGGCCCGGGCTCCCTGGGGTCTGGTCTGGAGGCAGATGCACCTGGCCCTGCAGGCTGGGGAGGGGCATGGGGAAGTAAGGGGAAGCCTCGGCCCTTAGCTCACTGCTCACCTGGGGGCCCTGCCCAGCACTGTCCCTATTTGTGGGAGATATGCATTCCGCCCAAGACCAGCTGGTGAAGACGGAGACAGGGTCCACGACTTGGGACCATGCGGCTGCCCTGGCCAAGAAGCAGAGGGCAGCCACCCCAGCACCAAAGGGTACACAGGGCTTGGGGAGGGGGGGTCCCAGGCAGAGACCTGTGTGTGGCCACAGTCAGGGGCTGGCCACTGCTTGGGCAGCAAGTGGGGGTGCAGGTAAAAGGCTGTGTGTCGGCACCTGATGGGCCTTTGTCAGGAAAGGGCCCATGGAGCCTTCTGGTCCCAGGGGTGGCCAGTGGCCTCCAGCTGAGCTCAGCTCCGAAAATGCGCTGGGTGTGCCCCAGGGCAGGACCCTCCCTGGGTGGCAAATGGCTGTTTAGGAGGGTCCATGAATGTGCACAAGGACCCTGAAAGGCCAGCATTACAGGGCCAGGTGGGCAGAGAAGGGGGTCTCGGAGAAGCCAGGATTTCTAAACTTGGACCCAGCCATGGTCACCAGGGAGGCATCTTGGGAAGGGTGGGAGGACTGAGCTTACTCTGTTCCAGCAAGCTGGTAGCGTTAATGCCTCGGCCTGAGGCCAGGGTCCCCACTGAGGCTCTCAGGCCAAATACCCGGTCATTGTGAGACAGGTGGCTCACTGCTGTGTGGCAGTTACGTGTGAGTGCCAGGTCTGGGCAGGCCTCCGGCCACATTCCCTCCAAGTGTTCCAGGAGCCCCTCCACCACGGCATTCCCAGCTGAACCCCAGGGGCTCAGACTCAGCAACAGCCAGGAATGGCTGCCCACCCTGTCCTGCACACTGGCCACCCCTACTCCCAGTCCAGTGTCAGGGGAGATGCCGTTCTCGGGGCCAGGTGGGGTGGACCAGTGGCAAACACCAAGAAGCACAGAAGAGGTGCCCCATGGACGCTGCAGGGTGATAGCCTGAGGCTCAACACAGTGACGAGGCTGGCTCCGTGTGGTTCCGTGGGGCTCCGTGGGGCTCCGTGTGGTTCTGTGGGGCTCCATATGGTTCCGTAGGGCTCCGTGTGGTTCCATGGGGCTCCGTGTGGTTCTGTGTGGTTCCGTGGGGCTCCGTGGGGCTCCGTGTGGTTCTGTGGGGCTCCATGTGGTTCCGTGGGGCTCTGTGGGGCTCTGTGGGGCTCCGTGGGGCTCTGTGTGGTTCCGTGGGGCTCCATGTGGTTCCGTGGGGCTCTGTGGGGCTCCGTGGGGCTATTGGCTTGTAAGCCTATCTAGGCATCAGAAGGTGCTGTCCACTGACCAGCAGAGAGCATCACATTCAGGACTGACCCAGGGAGGGCCTCTGTGCAGTGCTCGGCCTTCAGGGCCCTGTCCTGTGCTCTGGTGGGTCTCAGCACCCTGGCTGGAGGCTCAGAGCCTCTGTCGCCCCTGGCCCCGGCTGGAGCAGGCTGCCTCCCTGGAGACCTCCCACTGCCAGGCTGACTTTCCATTTTCCTTCCCTTCCTCGTGCTATTTTAGTGCCATTCCCAGAGGGAAAACCCACTCGACACACAGAGCATTCCCAGAGCGGGCCTGGCCACTCTCTGGGCTGGTGCGTCGGGGTACAAGGCTGTACGTGCAGAGGGAGAAGGCCCGGTCCAAGGTTGGGCCAGGGGTCTGGCCAGGGGTCCGTGGCCATGCCTCACACTGGTGCCCAGGCCCTGACCCGAAGCTGTGGCATGGGCCCTGGGCACCAGGGTCCACCTTCTGGGCATCTGCACGTGAAGAGCAACAGTCAGGTGGTGGAGGCCTGAAGCGGGTGGGGAGATGGCCCACCTGCCCACTCCAGGGATCAGGGGTGGTGGGCCTCACGTGGTGGGCAGGATCATGACCCCTGAAGCTGGCGACCTGGGCCTGGGATTGTCCATCAGGAACATCCGCCGAAAGGACATTCCCAGTGCCGTCCACCATGGGAAAATATTTTATCAAAGAAATTTGAGTTTAAAAAAAAAGCCTAAGCATGAACCCCTGACATGGCTAGGCGTAATGTCTATTTTTACTGTCCCTCTGGTCCCCCTCCGCTGTGGTGGGGAACAGGCTGTGGCCCCCATGTGGAAGTCGGGGAGTGTCCTGGGAGGGGAGGCAGTGACGTTGGCCTCCGGAAGTGGGCACCCGGGAGGGGAGGCGTCTGCGGGACGGTGACCCTGCCTTGGGGAGCTCTCAGGCAGCGCTGGCTGCAGGATCCCCAGGAGGGAGAGGGTGTGGGGCCAGAGAGAAGCCTGCAGTTAGGGGAGGCCGGGCCTTGGGCTGCAGGCTCACAGGCATCCAGGAGACAAGAGGGCTGGGCAGGGGCCCTGGGACAGAGGTGGACAGTAGCCCAGACTGATCTCTGGCAGGGGAGGGATGCAAGCAGAGGGCTCCCAGGGCCTGCGGATGTGAGGGGAGCTCCAGAGCAGCCACCCCCCAGCACCCAGGCCTGGAACCCAGGACCAGCCGCGGCACCTGTGCCTGGCCCGGTCCCTGGGCCTGCGGACCTTCCCTCTATCCTGATGACCAACTGCAGACCAGGGACCGACAGGAAGAGGGGCCATGGCTGCTGACCCCGGCCCTCCCCATCCTTTGTGCTCCCTGGCCCCCAGCCCCGTTCCCACACTCGGTGCCCCCAGGGTCACACAGGCACAAAGCCTGGGGAGGGGTGGCCACCACCCTGCGCAGGGAGAGACCCCGGCCCACTGGCTCTGAGGCTGCAGGAGGAGCGGCCGCGGGGGCTCTGGAGGAGGATGGGTTTCCGCGCTGTTGTGAGACCTCAAGGACAGTGGGATCCACCAGCAGGTTTGGGCGGGGGCTGAGGCCAGCGTGCCCCCAGACTCGAGAGGCTAGCCAGGGTGATGGCCCAGTCAGCAAGCCTGGTGCAGTCCCTAGGGGTGACAGCAGGGTGGGCCACCTCCAGGCGCTTGTAGGACCACCCCTCTGCCCTCCCTCCCTTCCAGAGAAGTCGTGGGTCTCAGAGCCCCGGCTTCTGCTCCCACCAGATGGCCCTGGGGGACTGAGGACTTGGACCCCATTGGCCTGGGGGTCCCCCAGCTTCTGGTGGCCCTGATCTGACCCTGGCCACTTTAGGAAAGATCCTGGGCCAGCGTGACAGCCACACCTGCATCCTTGACACTGAAGCAGGGCTGCCCCCGGATGCCAGCCCGTCCAGCAGCCAGCTTCACGCGAGACCCTAACCCGCATGTGGCACCTGTCCATGTGTCCACACCAGGCCCTCTGCCCCCAGCCCACCCCTCCCTGGGCTGTGTCGTCCCTTGGAGTGGCCTGGGCTGAGAGGAGGTGTGAGGGCCAGCCCTACGCCTGTGGCCTTGAGACCTGCCGAGGCTTCTCTGGGCCGGCGCCTGGGGTGGTTGGTGTGTGTCCCCAGCCCGGCTTATGCCAGGCGCCCACCCGAGTACCCAGCTCTTTTCTCCTTCTCGTGTCTGTCCGTGCGGCGGGTGCCCCAGGACCCAGCAACCAGTGATCCTGTGCTTCTAATGGGCCTTCCCGTCAGCGCTGTGGGGTCTCCTCTGGACGGGCCCCTCTGGCTCTACCCCCCCAATGTTGATGGGAGAGTGCACACACGCCCTGTCCACTTTCAGAAGGGGTTGATGTGCTTAAGGTTGAACTTCAGAGGG